TGGTTGTGTGGCTGCTGGCAGTACAAAGTCTTCTCTTTCTATTTCTAAATTGAACACATCTTTACTTCTGATGTCCCCAGATTGCACTGACCTTTGATCCTGACCTCCCGAATATGCATAGCCAGTGTTTTCTTCACGGTCTGTCCAGTACCTTGTTATTATTTCGAATTATCTATCCATATGGGCTTCCCATTGGTAGCAGTGTGTTTGATCAAAGTGCTTGATGAATCGTATGGCCAAATCATCATTTGCCATTGGCTATTTGCCTGTAATCACAATTAATTGCTATCTCTGCAGCCTGTAGTGTTTAAGTGCTCCTTTTGGGGGTGCAATGTGTGAATGGCTTATGATGAAAGCAGGGCATGTGTTTTGCTGTTTCTCAGCCTTTTGTCAATGTCCTGATGACCTCCTATGAATAGATCTGGGCGTATCTTTGCTAACACTTCTTATGGTATCTGCCAGGGTGGTATTTTATCACTTTAATGTTTAGTTTCATAATGTTTGGGCAGATGCAAGAATGATGTGTCTACAGCGTCAATGCTGTTTATCACTTTGGTAGATGCAACATTATTGCTTTGTTTCTTTTTGAATGCTAAAGACGGATCACAGTATAGTTGATAGGCCTTTTAAGACTGGAATATCTGTTATATTAGTTATAAATACCCAGTGTTGGAGATCTTTCCGTACATGTCTTGAATGATTAAAGCTGTCAATAGGAATAATTTCATATTCTTAGGTTTCTGTAAAACACTGCTGAATGAAGTGTTGTTCATGATCAACTTAGTGCTCAATGCGGTTCCAGTTGATGATGCAAGTGAAGTCTGAATATTGAGAGAAGAAGGTGAGAGGCTGGTGTTGAGTCTACGTAGTAGTTAGTTAGTGTGGTTTAGACAAGTGTATGGTTTGACTTCATAGCTGGTTCAATGCTCTGTGGTGGTAACAGCATAATCCTTATTTCCCGGTCTTAAGAGGCAACGATAGTTGCCTGGAAATGAATTGTTCACCAAAGTTGTTTGTGGAACAACTCTTTAGAGCTAGAATGCCATATAATCCCAGTGTGAATTCTTGTTTATTCATCTCTATTATCCTCTATCCCTGTGATTTCCTTCACTGTGATTTTCATGTCTTCCAGCCTATACTACCTGGATGGATGTGGTTCATGTTTTCCATTTCTGGCCAGTGTTGTTATGCTTCAAAATGAGAGTGTTGTACTACAGGAAATTCTTCCTTTGACAAGGTCTCAAGCTGTAGACAAGATTATATGAGGTAAAAGGAAGCAGGAGGTTAAAGATGATGTCTTATATTTTCTCGGTAGTCTTAACTTCTAAAATAGTCCCACAGGAAGAAACTTCAACTTCTGTTTTCTTTCTTTCTGTGTGCTTCCAACCATGAGTTTGCTTTGACTGCCACCTTACACG